GGGGTACACAGGGGTGCTCTCATCCTTTTGGAACAAGGAATCCTCTGTGGTGGTGGACACCAGGGACTCCTTGGAGGCCCTTTCTTTTTCTCCTTTTTCAGTGAGGTTGTATGACTCTTTCTTTTCATGTGTCCTTTCATCCTCTTCTGATTCTGTGGCTTCCTGTTCTGATATCAAATCCCCTTTTGCTTGTTCCACTGTGTCTTGGGGAGCTTCTCCAGGTTTCTCCTCAAGCTCTTCTGGGAACTGCCAATCTGTCTGATCAATCTCATTATTGATTTGCTCCAAATCCAGAAATGAATGTTGTGAGCTGAGATCTCTTAAAATTTCATTTATTTCAGAATTGTCTGATGGTAAGGAAGACTTATCTCCTTGGGTTTCCTTTAAAAAGAAATAAAAGGAGATTGTGATTCTAAACACAGTGCCTCCTGCACATTCTCCTATTTATTGTTCCCTCTATTCTTCACCAGCCAGTCTTGGTGTTAGCCTCACCTTGGAATTATGAGATGTTTTTCATAATGTGTCAGGAGCCTGGCACATTTTGTATTAAGAAATGAGTCCAAGGGGCTGGGGTTGTGGCTCAGTGGTAGATGGCTTGCCTAGCATGTGGGAGGTACTGGGTTCGATTGTCAGCACCGCATATAAACAAATAAATGAATAAAGGTCCATCAATAACTAATAGAAAAAAAATGAGTCCTGGGTGAGTCTGGATTTATTCTCAGCCTACTAGCAGGCAACGACAGTAAAATCATTCTTTTAAGTGTCACTGGTGGTCTCCAAAAGCCTGCTAGACACAGTTATTTATGTTGGGCCAGGGCTGAGTTCTCCCCCACTAGGAACAGACTGGGGAGGCCAATACCACTGTTATTGCACTGATGCTAAGATGAGCCCACTTCCACTAACCCCTACTGCCCTTTAAAGTCAGCTTAGTGCACGCCTCCCTCCAGGGAACTTGTCCTGATCATCCTCCTAAATGGGTTAAATTGACTTTTTTTTTTTTAATCTCTTGTGCATCTCACAATCCCGGCACCTCCATGTTGCTTTATGTATGCAGTTGTGGGTCTGCCTCCAGACATACCCTAGAGCTCCTTAATTAAATGGATTGTGTCTTATTTGGTTTTGTATCCCCAGAGCCTGGTGTATATTGAGTATTCAATTAATGATTTTGAATGAATGGAGGAATGAATTACAATTCTACTTACCAGGAAAGCTCCTGAAATGGATGATTGAGAACTAGAAAATTCTTTCTCCAAACTGATCATGGACATGATTTCTGAAGGTATCACTGTGATGTCCTCCTGGACTCCTGCAGCCTCTTCTTCCTCAGTTTTTCCAAACTTGTCCTCGGTTTCTTTTACAACAGCCTCTTCCTCCTTCACCACCACCTCCTCTTTCTCTGCCTCTCCTTCCTCCTCACCTTCACCCTCTTCTTCTTCCTTCTCCTCTCCCTCATCTCCCTTCTCCTCTTTTGTTTCTTCTCTCCACTCCTCCTTATCCCCTTTCCCCTCCTTCTTTTCTTCCTCCTCCTCCTCCTCCTCCTCCTCCTCCATCTCTTCTCCTTCCACCTCCTCTTCCTCCACCTTTCCCCCTTCCTCCTCCTCCTCCTCCTCCATCACTTCCCCCTCCTCCTCCTCCTGAGATTCTCTCCATACTGATGTGTCGTCTTCTTTTGATTTTTGCTCATTTTCTACCTCTTTATAATTCAAATTGTATTCTTCTTCTTCCATGTCTGTTTCTTCACTTTCTTCTGCTTCTTCCGGGACATTTTCTTCTGCATGAGACATTCTTCTCTGTAGAGGTTCCTCTAGAGAGATATTGATCATAATAATCAGCAAGCCCCATTTTGATTCCTGGGTGTACTATCCTATTGATGAAATGTGCAATACCAGCTCTGATTTCTTTACACAGGAATAAAAGGAATATCATATTTTTTTGTGTTACTGGGGATGGAGGCCATCCAGGCATCTCTACCACTGAGCTACATCCCTAGCCCTTTTTTTAGTGGGGGAGAGTGGGTAGGTACCAGGGATTGAACCCAGGAGCCTTAACTACAAGGCCACATCCCCAGCCCTCTTTTTTAAAATATATTTTAAAATTTAAGTCTTTTTTTAAAAAATGTTTTAGTTGTAGATAGACATAATACCTTTATTTTTATTTATTCATTTTTATGTGGTACTGAGGATCAAACCCAGTGCCTCACACACACTAGGCAAAAGCTCTGCCACTGAGCTACAACCCCAGCCCTATATTTTTAAATTTAGAGACAGGATCTTGCTAAGGTGCTGAGGGCCTTGCTAGGTTGCTGAGGCTGGCTTTGAACTCATGACCCTCCTGCCTCAGCCTCCCAAGCTATAGGCATGGGCTAATGTTCCCAGCTCCCTCCTCCATTTTTTTAAAAAACTGAGATAAGGTTTTGCTGAGTTGTCCATGTTGGCCYGGGAAATTGCAGTCCTCCTGCCTCATCCTCCCAAGTAACTGGGATTATAGGTGTGTGCCACCACACCCAGCAAGAATGTCATATTCTTGGGAAAGTCCAGCCTGAATCTTAAAAATATTGATTCCATGCCCTCTCATCTTTCTAGGAATATGCTTAGAGCCTTCTAATTCATTTAAAATATATTCACATTCCCACAGGCAGCAAAATTCATAACCTAGGCATTAGCAATGACTCCAAGGACACAAATAAGAGAATAAGCAGTGTAGCTTTGTGGTTAAAGCATGGGTTTTGTAGTCAAAGCCTTGCATTGAATCCCATTTCTTTGCCTCACCTGCACCATGACCTTAGGCAAGTCGCTTTACCCCTCAGAATCTAAATTTGCTCACAGGCAAAATCAAAATGATAATACTAAATTCAGGGCTTGTGAAGATTAGATAAGGCGCCAAGTGCCCAACACAGTTCCGGCACACAGCGCAGGGGGAAAAAAGGTAATGGTCAATATGAGGATAAAAGCAACCCTAATTTTGCAAAGAAATGAACACTTTAAAAGCCCTCTGACATACTCTTTTCATTTTTTTTCTTACAACAAACACGAGTTAGAGGCGAAGCCACTGCGAAAGCTAGCAGCAGCTGACTCCCCATCTGAGAAAGCGCTGCTCCCACCAGGAGCCCCAGGAGGGACCCAAACTGCCAGGCACCTTGGCCCGCGGGACATGAGGCTTGGGGAGGGGACAGGTGCGTGGGTCTGTGGGGGCAGAGCCCAGCGCCGTAGCCTCCTCCTGCACCCCCAGCCACCGGAGGCCGCGACCCCCACCGGCCCCTGGACTCTGCCCTAGACTCATAGAGCGCGCCCACCTTGCTCCTCAAAAAGCTGGGGTCCTGCCTCCTGCAGCCCTCATCTGGTTTTGGACTTTCACCAGGCACCTTCTTCACCAGCTCCCTAGTTACGGTTGCCACCCAAGCTCCATCCCCATGGTAACGGCTGCCGCCTGCCGGGGCATCTGACCGTAAAGCGAGAGGTCAGGGCCATGGTCACGTGCGCAGAAAGAGGCTGCGAGCCGGGCCCGCGCGCCCCCTGCCGGCCACTGGGGTAGCAGCTCTTACTCCCCTTGCTCTTTGACACTCCAGGAACTCTCCCTGGCTTTCCCCATGGTGTCATCCCCCGAGAAACTGCAACTACCAACACTGGCAATTCTGACTTTTCCAAGGCTGGCCATGATTATGTGAAGTGGAATGAACTATTTGATAAAATTCCTCTTGCCAAAAGCAAACTGAACTTCCTAGTCTCACGAACACAACACAGGTCTATCACCTGCCTCTGGCTGAGACATTGAAGGCACAGAGAATTTGGGCTAGCAGGGATTGAATATTATCCAGGTTGAAGGATCTTGTTGTTCTTATCACAAAAATTCTTCAAAACCAACGTGGTTAAATCATTTAGGATCAAACTGACTCCCAGCCAGAATCGCACAGGAGAGTGCAACAGGTGGCTATTCTGGGCTTTCCAAGGGGAGGCCTGCAGGAAACCAGCCAAGGTACTGCTACAGAAGACTCTCTGCTGCTATCATTTTAGAAGGTGAATGATTCTTCCCCACTCCCACCTCCCACCATGTCCCCACTGCTGCTAAGCTGATTCATATGCACACAGCTCAAAGGAACAAAGGAGATACCAAGGGATAAACTGAATGGTGCAAGCTGTTTATTATAGTCTGGGACTTACAAAAAGAGATGGAAAATATTTGTAATCAGAACATGGAATTTATACAGCATCCACTGGTACACAGCATGTCTGTGGCTATAAAAGGGAAGACGTGAGGCTGTACGGCAGGACAGTTGTGAGAAGATGCTCCTACGATGCCTTTCAAATTGAGCATGAAAACCCACCGTGGAAGCACACACCAATATCGACTGCCATCAGGGGAAGCTGGTATCTGCATCTAACTCCAGAAAATCCAATCCTAAGTAATACAGGCTTCCTGGCAGAATGTGGCACACCTCCCCCAAAACACAAAGTGGTCTGCAAGAGCTGGGGAAATAAACACTGGAACAAGAAATTAAGATGCAGAGTCCCAGGAATCACTGAAACCCAAAGAGAGAATGAAAGGCAGAAAGCAGCATCATCTTCAACAGTCAGATCTGTAAACACAATTTTGAGCATACCTTAGTTCACAAAACTGTTGTTCTTAGGACATGGCTGGAAAGTTCGAGGGTAAAAAGTCAATTTAGAAGTAAATTTGCAGGAGTTTTTATTCTAGAAGTGAAGGGAGCTTGCTGCCCTCTGGTGAGTTACTGAAGAGGAAGCTGGCACACACTGAGCCACCCAGGGAACCTCCTGGCTTTCCTCATTCTCCAAAGGGAGCTATGGTGGCTGTAGAGGCTCAGAGGCTAAGGATACCAAACTACTGTGTCCAGAGTAGCAATGGTTCAATGCAAAGAAAGTTGCTGGCTTCAGCCCAATTGCTGTTTTGTTTTGTTTTGCCCAACTTTAAGAATATTTCAACCCCATCTGAGCTTAGGTTTTGAGAGGTTCCTAATAAATTAAGCTTGGATGACAACACAGTCATATCAGAACTGCAAAAACAGTGTTTATTTGAAAAACAAAATTCCTAAAGGAATAAAGTCACATAGGCACCTGCCAGAATAACTCCCGCCCACTTGCCCACAATCCAGAGAATTCCCATTTTGGGACATGGCCCAATGTGCCAAAGATGCCAAGCACAAATCTCGTTTTTAATGACTTAATCCAGAGAGATACATTGGGAGGCCACAGCATCTCCACCACCTAGACGTCCGGCTTCCAGCCTCTTCCAGATCCTTACTCTTTGGGAGTGAAGAGAATGAGGAAATTCCCACCAGGCCCTCGGGCAGGGCAAGGGAAGAAGCTTTCCTGTTACTGTTTCCCAGGGACAGTCATCTTTGCAGAGGAATGATGTTGCAGCTACAAGAAGAAGAGGAATGGCATCAGTCTGGTGGCCCACTGGGGAGGGCGAGCAGGTAAGCCCTTGGGAGCTCCTCACCAACACCCTTTCATTCTCTCAAAGCAAATGCCCAGCTGATGAAAGGCCCAGAGACCCTCAGGAGACCCTGAGGCTCTCTCTGCCTCTACACCTAGAGCCTCCTTGCTACCATAAGCCTTTGTCTCAGTTTCTACATATTCTGGGGATTCCCACAATTCAGCAAGCCCCCTGGAATTCCCCACTTTATGGCTAACACTCCACTGACGCTGCAGTGTGCACGAGTGAGGCAGATACCTTACCCCAGCAGGCCTTTCCCGGCCCAGCGCGTTGGAACAAGCCTGAGCTGCTGTCTCTCCCCTCTACGGATTACTGTCACATTCAGGGGTTTCTGCGAGAAAAATAAGATTGTTTCAGGTTCAACTTAATATTCAAAAGGATTCAGGTTCAAACGTTGACATGTCATTTTGTGCCCACTGAGTTGACCAAGATTTGTATTTTATTTTATATATTTATTTAATTTTTTTTTTTAGCTGTAGTTGGACACAATACTTTTATTTTATTTATTTATTTTTATGTGGTGCTGAGGCTTGAACCCAGCTCCTTGCACATGCTAGGCGAGTGCTCTACCACTGAGCCCCAGCTCCAGCCCCCAAAATTTGTATTTTAAAGCAAAACCCTGCAGTTGGCAACAGTGTGGGCCCCTGGGGCCAGTGGGAATACAAACTGGTGCCATCTTGCTGGAGAAATGTGTTCCCCTCAAAAATATTTACAGGGTACTATGTAAGATACATTTTACAAAAGCATAAGAAGATACGCAAATAAAGTGTTCATTCCAGGACTGTGTGTATATATATATATATATATATATATATATATATATATATTCAAAAACTGAGAATACTCAAAATATCCACCTATAAGATATTATTCAGCTAGGCACAGTGGTGCACGTCTATAATCACAGAAATTCAGGAGGATGAGATGGGAGGATTGCATGTTTGAGGCCAGCCTCAGTAACTTGGCAGGACTCTATCTCTAAATAAAATATAAAAAAAGGGCTGGAGATGTGGCTCAGTGGTTAACCCTCCCCGGGTTCAATCCCCAGTACTACTACTACTACTACTACTACTAATAATAATAATAATTTTAAAAAGGGCTGGGGATGCAGCTCTGTGACAGAACACTTGCCTAGCATTCACCAAGTTCCAGGTTTAATCCCCATGACCACACACCAAAAAAAAAAAAAAAAAAGAGGAGGAAGAGGAGGAAAAAAAAGAACAAAACTGTCCAGAGTTACATGCAGTCAGGTGCGCTGGCATGTCTATAATCCCACAAGTTCAAGGCCTCCTCCCCCCTCCACTTTCCTTGATTCTGGGATTCAATCACCTTCCTTTGGGTGCTCTGCTCCTCCCACCTCAGGACCTTGAACCTCTGGATTTGCCTTTTGGACAATTTCATATGAGTGGGTCATATAATATGTGGGCTTTTGCATCAGGTTCTTCATTTAGCACCAGGTTTTCATGGTTCACCGATGTGCTTTATTCCTTTTTTTTAAATTTTATTTGTTCTTTTTAGTTATACATGACAGTAGAGTCCATTTTGACATTCTTACAAACATGGGATATCTTATTCTAATTAGGATCCCAGTCATGTGGATGTACATGATGTTGAGATTGACTGCGGTATTCATATATGTACACAGGGAAAGTTATGTCTGATTCATTCTACTGTCTTTCCTATTCCCATCCCCACTCTCTTCCTCCTTCATTCCCCTTTGTCTAATCTATTGAATTTCTATTCTTCCTCTCACCCCCCTTGTTGTGTGATAACATCAAGAAATCAAAGAGAACATTCACCCTTTGGTTTTGGGGAATTGGCTTATTTCACTTAGCATGGTAGTCTCCAGTTCCACTTATTTACCAGCAAATGTCACAAACTCACTCTTCTTTATGGCTGAGTAATATTCCATTATACATATATACCACATTTTCTTTATCTATTCATCTGTTGAAGGGCACCTAGTTTGGTTCCATAGTTTAACTATTGTGAATTGTGCTGCTGTAAACATTAATGTGGCTGTGTCATTGTAGTATGCTGATCTTAAATCCTTTAGATATATACCGAGAAGTAGCATAACTGAGTCAAATAGTGGTTCCATTCCTAGTTTTTTAAGAATCTTCATATTGCTTTACAGAGTTGGTTGCACCAATTTGCAGTCCCACCAGCAATGTATGAGTGTACCTTTTCCCCCCACATCCTCACCAACATTTATAGTTACTTACATTCTTGATAATTGCCATTCTGAATGGAGTAAGATGAAATCTCAGTGTAGTTTTAATTTGCATTTCTCTAATTGCTAGAGATGGTGAACATTTTTTCATGTATTCATGTATTGTTGACCATTTTTCTTCTTTTGAAAAGCATCTGTTTAGTTCCTTTGCCCATTTACTGATTATTTGGGTTATTTGTAGTTTTTTGGTGTTAAGCTTTTTGAGTTCTTTGTATCCTGGAAATTAATGCCTTATCTGAGGTACAGGTGGCAAAGATTTTCTCCTATTCAGTAGGTTCTCTCTTCACACTCCTAATTATTTTCTTTGCTGGGAAGAAGCTTTTCAGTTTCATACCATCCCATTTGTTGATTTTATTTCTTGTACTTTAGGAGTCTTACTGATGAGGTCAGTTCGGTGACATATTAGAGTGCTGGCCCTGCATTTTCTTCTAGTAGGTGCAGGGTTTCTGGTCTGATACGTAGGTCTTTGATCCGCTTTGAGTTTTGTGTAGGGTGAGAGACAGGGGTTAAATTTCATTCTACTACATACAGGTTTCCAGTTTTCATAGCGCCATTTGTTAAAGAGACTATCTTTTCTCCAATGTATGTTTTTGGTGCCTTTGTCTGGTATGAGACAACTGTATTTATGTGAGTTTGTCTCTATGTCTTCTATTCTGTTGGTCGTCTTCCTGTTTTGGTGCAATGCCATGCTGTTTTAGTTGCTATAATTCTGTAGTATAATTTAATGCCAGGTATTGTGATGCCTCCTTCTGGCTAAGGACTGCTTTGGCTCATTCCTTTTTTTTTTTTTTTTTGGACACAATACCTTTATTTTATTGGTTTATTTTTTTATGTGGTACTGAGGATCAAACCCAGTGCCTCACGTGCTAGGCAAGTGGCTACCACTGAGCCACAACCTCAGGCCCTGGCTCATTCCATTTTAAGACTGAATAAAATATGCATTGTTTTTATAATAAAGACTATTTATTTATTTTTGTAATGCAGGGAACTGAATCCAGAGCTAGGCATATGCTCTATCACTGAGTCACACTCTAGCCAGACAATAATGTTTTTAACTGAAGATTTACTTTTTTGAAAATATATGCACTAGGGGCTTGAGATGTGGCTCAAGCAGTAGCATGCTCGCCTGGCATGCGTGCGGCCCAGGTTCGATCCTTAGCACCACATGCAAACAAAGATGTTGTGTCTGCCGAAAACTAAAAAAAAGACAGAAAATATATACACTTGATCCAGAAACTGCACCTTAAGTAAGTTATCTGAAGAAACAGAGATTTATCTACAAGATTTATCTCCTTACTTCCATAAACTTGAAAACTATCTAAATGGATAAAACAGAACGCTGTTAACATTAACATTCAGCACCATGAAAATTTTTTTTGAACATATAAAAACAGATATTCAACTTTTTCCAGTAGTCAAGACAATACAAATTAAAACAAAATGTCAACTTTGCAAAAATTTTAAAAGATCAATACACATATTGATCAGGGTGTAAATTAGTAAAACCTTATCAAATTACCTTAAACATGCATACTCTTCAAGCTTATGAACCTACTCATTAGTATCCATGGAGAGAAACACACGTGTACAGTCACATACAGTGTGCCCCACTCTTCACACTGGCACAGAGCTGGCGATACCTAACCATCCCCCGTATCAACAACAGAGTACTACGCGACAGTGAAAAAGAGCAAGGCATGAGCCCAAGTGAACAGACCTCCAGAAACACTGTTACATGAAAACAGGAACAGGAAACAGGAGGGGGATTTGAGGTAGGGTGGCTAGGAAAGGCCTTGCTGAGAAGGTGTCAGTAGTGTAAAGAGGAGGGCAGTGAGGAAGGAAAAGCCTTGGGGTAGAGGGAACAGCAAGTGCACAGGCTCTAAACAGGGACTGCGCTGAGCAACAGCTGTGAGGCAGCCAGGGCCCCATCACTGCTTCCAGGCTACCCACAGATGCTTCCCGTCAGAATATCTGGGTCCCCTCCTCCAATTCATACTCGGAAATCCTGATCCCCAGTATGAAGGTACCAAAAGGTGGGACCTCTGGTTGGCATCAGGCCATGAGAGTGGAGCCCTCATGCTGAGACTCATGAGGATGCAGTGGCAACGTGGCATCGGTGGACTGGGAAGCAGCCTGCACCAGACCCTGAGTCTGCAGGGCCTTGCTCCTGAGCTCCCCAGCCTCCAGAACAGTGAGCTGTATGCTTCTGCTGTTTGTAGCCCCAGTATATGTAGCTTCCAACCTGCCAGGGAGCCCCCGACTCCCCAACTCACCTCCTCGCTGTGCTGCACCACACTGCCAATGTTGTGCAGCGACTGGAAGTTCTGGGTGTTCACAGAGCCAAACTCCACAATCTCATCATCCACCTGCAGACCCTAAAGAGAGAAGAGGAAATGAAGACCAAGGCTAAGGGACATGTGCTCCTGGAGTTCTCCACCCTTCAAGACCCACTTCAAGCCAAGGTCAAGAGGAGATTTCCTATAAGGGAGAACAGCAGGCTGAAAGCGAACATCAGGGATTTAAATACCTCATGCAGGAAGGGACAGTAGGCAACTGGGCCACTTCCTCCCCAGGGTTCCTTCTAGGTCTCTCCAGAAAAATGCTTCTCTCTGGGGCCCAACCCCAGGTTCAAAGGCAGGAAGAGGCAAGCCAGTCTTAGGTCAAGATTTAGATGAGATAGATATTTGCACTCAAAGACCAAAAAGCTGTCACAGGCCTGAGGCTGACCAGGAGGAGAGTAATCCTTTGTTCTCAGTCCCAAGAAGGAAGATCACCACTCATTCACCCTTAACAAATACTGGTTGTGAACCAACTATAGCACTGTACTCGAGGCTGTGGATACGGCTGTGAATAAAACAGAGCTTGTGTACAACTTAGAGTCCTGTGATATTGGTGATCACAAGATGATTGGCAGGTCTTGGATTCAGGACCCAGTTCTTCCTCTTGGGAGCTATCAATGCCAGCACAGGTTACCTCAGGTCTTCAAAGCTTTTCCTCATGGGTCAAACAGAGTAAAGATTGGCATCTATCCCAGAGGGTGGCTGTGGTGTTAAACTTAACTACAAGTCTACATGCTAAGCTGGACACGAATGTCCACAGCAGCTTTCTTAACAGCTCTAAAGTGGAAACAATCCAAATGCCTATTAGCTGACAATTGGATAAACACAATCTGGCACAGCCATGCAGGGGAATGTTATTCAGCCCCAAAAAGGGAGGGAGCATGGACACCTGCTGCAACGCAGAGGAACCTGGAAAGCCTGATGCTGACCAAAAGACACACTACATCGACCACTCCCTTTCTATTAAAGGCCCAGGACAAGCAAATCCACAAAACAAAAGGCGGATTAGAGGTTGCCAAATCGGAGGCAGCTACCTGGGACCACAGGGCTTCTTTTTAGGATGATGAGAATGTTTTTTATTTCTGATCATGTATTCATGTGTGATCACAGGAAAGTCATGCCTGATTCATTCTCCTGAGAATTTTTTAAACTGACTGTGGTGATGGATGCACAATGCTCTGTGAAAACACTAGAAGTCTCTTAATTGTATGCTTAGATAGGTAATTTATAACGTGTGAATACTATCTCAATAATGCTATTAAATTAAAACAGCAAACAAACCCTGTTAAGATATACAACTCATGCCTTGAGCAAACAGTAGCTCAGCATTCCCACCTACTCTTCAATACCAAAATAAAATGAGCCCCAAGAAGAGAGTCCCTCTCTGTCTCTGGGGACATTTGTCACCTTCCATCTTGTGTCCCAGCTGTCACTGGGAACAGGTCTCTCCCCCCAACCAGTTTGGTGAGCAGCAGGGTTTGACCCCTCTCCAAAATCCTGACCTCCTATATACAGTAGACCTTGACCAGTGCTTGTTGAAGTGTGAAGGAATTCAGAGCTGCAGCACAAAGAGATAGGGTCGGGTCCCCACAGCCTGTCCCGCCAGAGCCCATGACCACCGACCCACAGTGCTCCTCCCTGGGTATGGATTTGGGGCTGGGCTGGATTACCGCAATGCTGGCTGGAGAGCCAGGGCTGACGCTGTTCACTTTGGCGAAGGCCTGTGACAGGCCGTGGCCCTCATTGTGGCTCATCCTGTGGCTCATGGCCTCCTCCTGAGCCTCAGCCAAGTCCCGCGCCTGCTTCTCCTTGTCGTGAGCATGCAGCTGGTGTAGGGCCTCTTCTACCTGCTTCATCACCGCTTTGTGATCATTCTGCAGGCCTGGGGGAGAACCGTCACATCAGGGGCACAGGACACCTGCACTCACTCACTGAGCATTTAGAAAGTGCCTGTTACATGCCAGACCTAGGGACAGAGGCTGAGGACAAATCTCGAACAAGACAAAAGGACCTTCCTTCCTGAAGTGTGCTGGCTAGAGAGAAAGCAGCTGTGGAACAGTCACCACAATAACATGCAGCGACCCCCGTGTGGGCCCAGCCTGTCGAGGACATCAGGCAGGGTTTCCAAAAGGCAGGGCAGCCCTGGCTGAGACCTAAGGGAGAGCGGAAGTAGACCTCAATTGTGAGTGAAGGGCAAGCATGGTGCTCAAGCAATTGAGTAAGGCGGGCTCTGCACAAGAAAGATGTCACTTTGCTCCTTATAGTTTGAGAAAGAAAATTGAGGCATAAGCCTCATAATACATGCTGGGGCACTCTACCCTGTCTGGGAAAGGCCGCAGTTGTTAGCTAAAGGCTCCTTGCTACTGGGCTCTATCCAACTAGAGCGATTGGGAGGCAAGGACCATGTCTCCAAATCCTTGGTTTTCCTAGGGAGGAAAAAAAACAGGAAACTGAGAGCTTATGGATGAAATTCTCTGATTTTCTGGTACAAAAGGCTAATTCAAAATAATCACCATGCCAGTCAAACAAGTCCTGCCTTGGTTAGTCCAGCATAGCACTGGCATTTTGATAACTGTTTTTTAACCTCAAAACAACTTATCCTGCTGCTCTGGATTCCACCTCTTTGCCCACACAAATCCTTCTTCAGAGTTTCAAAGAAGGCCTGGGCACACCTTCACTGTCACCCACATCTGGCATCTGTGGGACACAGCCTGTCAGACTTTCCAGGAGCCTTCGACTGTGGGCTTAACTCCATCCCTGTCACTATGGAGCAAAGGCAAGGTCCTCAGATATTCCAAGACTCAAGTACTCAACCCACAGGAGCAGGCGGGAGGAAAGAACCCAGAACTGAGCAAATGGAGACACATCCTGGCAGGAAGGCTAAAAACAGAAAGTCTACCACCATGTGGAGAGGTCCATGAGGGTCCCAAGAATCCCCATCAACGCCCAACACCTAGTCAATACTTAATACACAACTACTGGGTAACAGAATAAATGCCTTTATTCACAATATATTACAATTCTATCAGAATTTTAAAAATTTTTTTGATAAATCTTTTTGCAGTAGACTTCAAAAACCAAATTTGCAGTTACAACAAATATACCAGGCTAATAAGCTACTAATCAGGGGAAACTGGGTACAAAATATGTGGGACCTTTCTACATTAATTTCCCAGTTTTTACATAAATCTGAACTGTCCTAAAAAATAAAGCCCGTTTTAAAAATACAATAGTTTAATGAGGAAAGGGGAGGGTAAGAGAGGGTAAAGGGTGGATATGATCAAAGTATGTTACACATATGTACAAACATGCCACAATACAGCCTTTACTCTACACAATTAATACACAAACACAAAAACAAAATGTGAGCCCATGGCCATGCCAATAATCCCAGCAGCTCAGGAGGCTGAGGCAGAAGGATCACAAGTTCAAGGCCAATCTCAACAATTTAGCAAAACCTCGACTCAGAATTAAATAAAAAAGGCTGAGGATGGAGCTCAGCAGTAAAATGTCCCTTCAAATCCCCAGTACTACAAAAATTTTTTAAAAATTAAAAAATAAACTTGTGAGAATAATTTTTCAAAAGACCACCAATGAGGAAGAATTGCTCAACAGAACTTATGTGTAGTAAAGTCATTAAGATGGCACCATAGGGCACCCAAAGAATAGATCAATAGGACAGTGAAAAAAGACCAAGAATAGACCTAAGCATGAGTGAGAATGTGGTATGTGGCAACGCTAGCATTTTAAATTAGAGGGAAAGAGGAGACTATTAATAAATGGTTAGAATATCAAACTWATCATTTGGAGAAAAAGAAGTCAGCAGGTGCTCAGTAGCTCAGTCCCCCTGCAATCTCCCCAGGGTCCTCCTAATGTAGAGGCACACTGCCACATCCCAGGGACTCTAAAGGTTTAGACAAAGTCCCCAAACTTCCCTCAAGCCTGGTCATATTAACATGGCTTTCCCCTTCTCTGTGTCTTTCTATTTCCTATTTATTTTAATCTACAAATGAAGTTCTTCTTTTACCAAAATCTTTAGGGTCAACTGACACTCTTAAAAGGTATCCCATTATCTTATTGTGGCGTGGGGAACTTCAGCTCTGTCAACCCTGGGGTTCCATGTCCCACCAGGGCATGCTGCAGATGAAACCACGGTTCAAACAGATTAAATGTCATTCCTTCAGTGAAAAGCACAGATGATAAATTCCCTTGTAATGAGAGTCCATGGTCAAGACCCACCGCTGCCTACCAGGGGCAGGGTGAGGAATGGCCTCCACAGTGCCCACGGCCTCATTTCTGGAGTCGGTGAACACCTGACCTGCCATGGCAAAAGGAACTTGGCAGACATGGTTAAGGACCCTGAGATGGGGAGATGGCCCTTCATCACAGTGGTCTTGAGAAGTGAAAGAGGAGACAGGAGAGTGAGAGAAAGAGGCGAAGACAGAATCAGAGGCAGGGAAGATGCAACAGCCTTCAAGACGGAGATGTCCAGGGGCCGGGAAATACAGGTGGTCTGGTTGCAGGAACAGGCAAGGAAATGGGACCTTCCCTGAGCTTCCACAGGGAGCCAGCCCTGCGGACTCTTTGAGTTTAGTCCAGTGAGACCCATCTGCACTTCTCACCTCCAGAAAAGTATGCTGAATGTGTGTGGTTTAAAGGCAGGAAGTCTTGTGGGCATTTGTTACAACAGAAACAGAAAACCAGCACCCAGCCTCTGCTCTCTCCCAGTCCCTTAGCTAAAAGCAAATGAATGCATAAAAGATTTCATTCAGGACAGTGATGCACCTGCGCCTGCGGTTGGTCCCCAGCTTTCCTGATGGGCAGAAGGGCCTATGAGGGGAAGGAGAAGTTGACAGAATGGGCAGGAGGCAGGACTTGCAGAAAAGATCCTAGAGAGGGGGTGCTGGCTGGCGCCGGACTCCCCATCTCTTCCTGCCTTTTCTTTCCTGCTTGCAACACGGGCTGCTGACCCCAAAGGAGATGCAGAACCTGGACTTGTGCTCAGCAGCCCAGTGTACACATTTCATGTCTTTTGTTGGAGTGACCATAGTCAGGTCACTACCCTAAACAGCCGAACATGTTCCCTAACACACACACAATGGATTTGACCAGGACCTTAAGCAGCACTGGACTTGGGCTTCTGTAGATCAACAAAGTTTTCTTAAGAACAAAACAAAAAAAATGAAAGCCTCCATGTAGAACCCTCGAGTCTAACTTGCTCCCTTCAGTATGTCCCTTGATGGGGGCAGTGAGATAATCGCATCAAGGAGAGGGGTCAGCAGATATCCTGAATACAGGCCATTCCATTCGTGGCCTTTAGCATCCCGCCATGTAACAAGGAACCCATGAGGGCCACTCACAGATGATGTTGTGCCTCGCGGTGCGAACCTGGTACACGTCCACGTCTGCCCGGGGGTAGCCCTCGAAGTCCACGAGTGGCTCGTTCATCCCAACTCCTTTTTGCTGGAGGAAAAACATGTGGTCAAAAAGATGTCACAGGTGGAGCGTTCTCCATAAGCCATTCCCCAGACCCTTGCCCTTCTGAGCTATAATACAGGTGCAGGAGAGGTGCTTATCTCATGACTTCACAACTACCTGTGAGGTGGGACTAGCCTTTCATCTTTAATATTTAAATTATAAATATTATGCATGAACATGTTCTTTTCTGAAGTTAAAACAGGGAACACAAAACTGAGGTTCCCTCCCGAGCATCACCATGAGCCCACCTCTCCACCAACTCCCCCAAATCCTCCTTCCCCCAGACACCTGGCACCCAGCTAGTCACCCTGAAGTTGGAGGGGGGTGAAAACCCCCACAGAGCTCCCAGCTGTGGCTGAGTTTTCAGTCTTCTAAAAATTAAAAGCTCTACAAGGGCTTTCCAAGATGCTTTTCATCCTCGGAAGGATAAAGACATTACTGGCGACCTCCAAGGAGGGGCACTGTTGTCAGGGGTGGGAAAAAGACTTTTCATCTCATCTTTTTTTTTTCATATTTTTGCAGGCTTCAAATTTTGACAATGGGAATGTATTCCCTATTCAAAATAATACATTTATTTTAACATTTTATTTTGAGACAGGGTCTCACTAGTTTTCCTAGGGTGGCCTTTAACCTCTGGGCTCAAGTGATCTCCCTGCCTCAGCCTCCCAAGAAGCTGGGACTACAGGAAGAGGTATGTGCCACCACACAAAACTTGCCTTACTACTTTAAAGTCTCTTCCTACATAAATCAAGGGACAGTGCATAAAAATAACCAAACATGTCACACGGTGTAAGGCAGGGGCTTTGTACCTGGTTAGACAACTTGAGTCCCTGTTCTGCCATGGAGCTGCTGGCGCCTGTGCCTTGCCCTCCTCTCTCTATGCCTCAGTTTCCTCACTGCATGATGGGAACAGACTCGCCCCCCCCCTCCCTGCTGCAAGAACTAATGACCTGAGCTCTGTGGACACTCAGCACAGAGCCAGGCATATCCATAGTGTAGAGGGCTGAATAGTGCCCCCCCCCAAAGATATGACCACATTCTCACCCCCAGAACCTCTGAATGTGACGTTATCTGGGAAAAGGTCTTTGCAGATGTGATTAAGCTTAGGCTCTTGAGACAAGATCATCCTGGATTCCTCATGGGCCTAAAACCAGTGACGGTGTCCTTGAAACAGAAAGGCAAAGGGGGAGCTGGACACAGCTGGACAGAAGGCCAGGTGGAAATGAAGGCAGGGACTGAGGTCACACAGCTGCAAGCCAAGGACTGCAGGTGCAACCGGAAACTGAGAGGGCATAGGGCACAGGACACAGGACTGGAACCGAGAGCCTCCAGAAGGGACCAATCCTACTGACACACCATGATTTTAGACTTCAGTCACTAAAATTGAGAGAGAATTCTTTTTTTTTTCTTTTAAGAGAGAGAGAGAATTTTTTAAAATATTTATTTTTTAGTTTTCGGTGGACACAATATCTTTATTTTTTTATTTTTATGTGGTGCTCAGGATGGAAACCCAGTGCCCCGCGCATGTCAGGCGAGTGCGCTACTGCTTGAGCCACATCCCCAGCCCCAAGAATAAATTCTTTTTAAGCCACCAACTTTGTGGCAATTTGTCAGAGAGTCCCCAGGAAACTACCATGCATAGAAAATAACAAATGGAGTCTAATTATTTGTCACTCCAGAGACAAGCTGCCCAGTGTGCACAGCACTGACAGAGCTACCTGTTCACTTTCCTCACCTCTTCTCTGTGTACCCCCAGACCAGTTCCCTGTTGAGGGAGAGGGTTCAACACTCGTCCTCAACACAGAGGGCTCTGGTATGTGTCTCCTTTCTTCCCACAAACACCAGGAGGGACTGGCCTCACAGAATCAACACTACATAAGACACTGCTTCCTAAAGGGTGGGACCTACACCAGTGGCAGCTCACACATAGGTCTAAACAACACTAACTCTGAAATACTTGTTATTACTTGTCTTTCTATGAGAGACATCCCAGTGGCTGAGGGTGGCTTCTCACCATGGTTTTGATTTGCATTTCACCAACAGCTACTCACAGTCAGCACTGTTTCATGTGCTTATTGGCCATTTGTATTTACTATATTTTCTTTGGAAAATGTCTATTCAGATTCTTTGCTTATATTTTGAGTTGTCTTTTTACTATAGAGTTGTAAGTGCACTTACTAAATTCTAGATGCTACCCTTACCAGATATTTTCTAAGGATTTTCCCATTTTATGGCTTGTCTTTTCATCTTCTTGATTATATGCTTTGAAACATGACTTTAATTTTGAAATCCAATTTATCATTTTTGCTTTCATATCTTGTGCTCTTGGTGTCATATCTAAGAAGGTTTTAACTAACTCAAGTTCACTTAGATTTATGCCTATGCTTTATTCTAAGAAATTCAAGTGAGCTGGACACCTGGCAAACGCCTATAATCCCAGGGGCTCATGTGGCTGAGGTAGGAGGATTGGAAGTTCAGAGTCAATTAGGCCATAAGCAACTTAATGAGACCCTGTCTCAAGATAAAAAAAAAATAAAAAGGGCTGGGAACGTGGCTCACTGATTAAGCATCCCTGGGTTCATCCCTGGTACCAAAAAAAAAAAAAAAAAAGTTAGACTTTTAACTCTCCATTAAAGGAAAATCAAACATAGAGTAAGATTTCAGGCATAAAGCCTTCAGCAGCAACAAAGCACAGGTAGAAGAAATTGATGTACAGTTATCACCTTAATATGTACCTCATATTTGAGGGAAGAAATCGAAATTTTTCATATACAGAGGAATTACAGATTTTTATTTTAAAATAAAAATATCTGAGTAATATCAATATCAATGTAATAATTGTATATAAGATGTGGATAGTTCTGTCTGCGGTAGAAAAAGTAAGTAAGATTGGAGAAATTGCAGGCAATCTTCTTGAAAGTTCTGGACTGAACAGATCTGTGGTCTGAATCCCACACATGACTTTGAGCAAGTGACTTCCCTTTTCCGAGCTTCAAGGGCACTACCAACTTCATGGTGTAGTTGTCGGGATTCCTGATAAAACCCACAACCCAGCACCCTTCAGGGGTCAGGTGTGCACCCAGTAAAGGTACCTTGGCCTCCACAGGATACATCTTTTCCCATCACACCTATTTGGATATAATTAGCCTCCTCTTTCACTGCAAAGTGATTTGTGGTCTTACACCAAGTGGCATAAGGAACACTCCCTCCTTTGGAGTCAGACAGACCTGAGAAGCACTCCACTCCTGCCATTGCGGAACTAGGCAAGCTTTTGCCCCACTCTGGGTCTCTGTCTCTTCCTTGGACAAAAAGGATATCAGGCCTTGTCAGTCAAGACGTAGTCCTTACACTATCAGCGTCAGCATCAACCAGATGCCAGGTGATTCTCACCTATACTGAGACTCAGTGGACGCTGAGGTAAAACATCAGCAAAGCCAACTTCACCTGTCGACACTGACTACCGCCCCTGCCTCTGCTAATATTGCAGCTCTGTGGCTCCAGGCAGGTCGAAGGAACGCCGCGGCGACCCCTTCCCTAAGGTGGGGACAGAACAGCTCCCACCTCAAGGGTCGCCACGAGGATTAAGCGGACAGGCCAAAGACAGCGCCAGGCACAGAGAGAAGACGCCACAAACGCGTGCCAGAACTGCCAACCCAGCGGCTGAAGCTGCCGCCGCCGAGGCCCGCACTGCCTGCTGCCCACGGACCTCCCCGGGAGCGGAAGACCCACGAACCGCGCCGGAGCGGGACTCCGGTCTCCCGACCTCCCGGCCCTCCCGGGCCCACGCAGGCCGCGCTCCGAGCCCCCACTCACGCCCTCCAGCACTTCGTAATTGGCCTTGATCTGAGCCTCGATCTCCTCCTTGCGACGCATCAGCTCGTGGATGTCGCTGACAGTCGCCGCTCGGGCCCCCGACGAGCTTCCACTCTGCCCCGCGTCCCTATCCGACATCGCGGGCCGCTATCAGGGATCCTGGACGCCCGGCTTCCGGTTACGGACCCCGGAGGAGACTGGGGCTACGGCTCCACCCACGGGCCAAAACACCTCTGCCGTCAGAGAACGCCAGGAGAGGCGAGGCGAGGGGCGGGGTTATCAGAAGCCACACCCCCGTATGAACCCGTGGTCTTAGCCCTAACACAGGGAGGACCGGGTTCTCCTGCCGCTACGCCGAAGAGCACGCAGGCAGTCGTCAGGTGACTCATTTTCGTTCTCATTCACGCAACAAACATTTTTAGGCGCCTGCTGTATGTATGTGCCACAGAACTCTGCCCTGGCGCTCCAATTCAATTCTTCATGTCTTCAGAGCCCTTAAAGATTTACAAAATACATCCCCACCCCTCAATCCAGTTCAAATCCACTCTCTTGACACTTACAATGATCTGTGTGACCTTAGATAAGCTACTTCGCCTCTAAGCCTCAGTTTCCTAACTGTAAAGCGGTATACTGCGTCGATAGCACTCTATATCACAGGGCTGTCCTGCCAACAATTATTCTGAACTCTTCCTATCTGCACACGCTGCACTAGGTCTGGAGTGATGAAGATCTGTGCATTAGTATTACGTCCTCTATATTGTGGTAAAAATACTAACCATGAGGAGCTGGGGGCATAGATCAAGGGTAGAGACTTGATAGCTTGTGCACTTGGGGGGGGTGATAATAATTATTTATCAAATACTTATGTTATGCCAAGATACTGTTCTGAAATCA